TTTATCGGGGCTCTCTTTGACTGACTCTTTGACTCTTTCTCTAGTCTTTCTGTTAAGCTGTCTGCCTCTGTTGGTATTACACCCAGCTATTGGCTGCTACTAATTGCCAGCTGATTGCTCTATTGTTTTTGACAATGGCCCAAGGCGCAAATTGCTCTGCAGTCTGATCCAATTAACTTCAGCCCCATTTGTAGGGATAGTTTTTGAGGCCAGTCTTTGAACTTTGTTCTGACACCATGAGGGTACTTTTAATCTGTCTCTTTTACTGGTTCTCCCTTGTAAACTAATTGGCCTATAGTTTAGCTTGTTGCTGTCATGAAGCTACCAGCTTCCTCTTAATTAAGGGAGTCCCTGAACCCTTGGCCACACTTGCCTGCAATTTAAGCTCTGCAACACATAGCTTGTGGAGATGAGAAATGCTGATGGCCTGCCCCTCCCAAGGAAATATCATATCCCTCAACTGGGAGCTGTGGAGAAGAGGATCCCTGTGTTATTGACTGAATTGCCTGGAGTTGAGTTTCCATTATGTCGAGCTAGAAGGGGAGAGGGAGGGAGTAAGTTGTGGTTCAAATGTCACAGATTCTCACTCTTTCTTACTGAGTTTTAGTAGATCTTCTTGAATAAGAGGTTTCTTCATTTGCTTAGGCCCTTAGGACAATTTCCAAAGACTCCAGATAGTTGTTTTAAAAATAATTTTCACCAGTTATGTTTGTTTCACTGGGGAGCAATTCCACAGAGCTTCTCATGCCATCATTTTGCATGTTGCCACCCTGCCAAGCCCTTTTTCTGCTGCAGTAGCTAAGCTTTTAGAATTTGGATCTCAGGCTGCTTCAAGCAATCATCATGCTCATGCGGTGAGCCTTGCAAAGGACTGAGGGAGAGACAGACAGAGCCCTGGTGATATTACGGGAGCCCCTGGATCTACTGTGTTTGGGATTAGTCCTATCTTCTGGACTTTGCAGTCACATAAGCCAATAAATTTCCTTCTTTACTTAGCTAGTTGTAGTTGAGTTTCTCTCACTTGTAACCAAGAGTCGTAACTAACATCCTGAATGTCAAACCTTTAATAATGTGTGAGCAAATCATGGAAGGCTTGTTCAACAAAATTGTTATCTAGGGTCATTTCACGTGATCTTTTTGGTAGTTAATCTCATCCCAATAATTTACGGCCTCTTGGTGCTTGATGAAATATATAGACATCATTTATGGTGATTCTAATTGACATTCCTCTTAATAGGATTTTTAATATACTCCTATCTGCCTGTCAATATTTGTTGATATTCAAAGAGTTGTTTCCAAGGAAGCCTCAATGTTAATTGCTAATGCTGAGGTATAATATTAATAATAATACAGAGGCTTGACCTTAATTACAAAAAGTTCTTATAAGTCAGGTAAAACTTCCTTTTCCATTAGCCTACGGCAAACTCATTAGAACATCTCTGGTAAGCATACAGTGTTCCAAATACCGGAACCAGTTACAGACCTCTTTACTAAACTATATGTGGAAAAAGGGAAGATTATATGCATTGCCCTTGATATGATATAGAAAATCCAAGGAATCTAAGAATTTTGTTTATTTGGCATGGTTCTCCTTTGAAATATTAAAGAATGGGACAACTTCATTGGAAATAGAGAAGCAGAAAACTGTCAGGAGAAATTTACCAGTCAAGGCTGTAAGCAATTTCATCCTGTCTCTCCTGACATATTCTTCCCTAACTCCTTCCTTGAATGTGGATGCTTTTGATGGGAGCAAGAAAGACATCAGAAATTATTATAATCTTGGAACTTATGAAAACTTGGTTAAGAAAAACTTCTCCCTGGATGAGGCCTGGATAGCGCCTTAACCTACCTTACATTACCATATGGGGAGCCACTTGCCAATAAAGTCTCTGAAGATTCTGCAATCCAGTGATCTCTGCCATGTTTTAACTATCTCTAGGATCCCCAGAGGAGCACAATTATTGAGGAGACAGGTCCTTGTAATCAAACAGGCACAGTGTGTAACAAAATGTATAGATACATTACAGAATCCCACTAAGTCCTATTAAATGGGGGAAAGGTGATGTGAATTCATGAAACTCAATTATTTTTACAGAAGTTAAGGCTTTCTGGCCTTTACTAAGAAAAAAGGGAAAAGTCCTCCAGGATCAATTTTAATAAACAGGTTTGATTTATTTGTAATTGGCATATTGTTTTAATTCCTTTAGCTTCTGAACTACCTGAAAGCAGTATGCATCTTAAAGAACTTAATCAAGCCATCTGCAGTTTAGTTTGCACAAATAACGGTCCTGTTTTTTAGGACCATTATTCACAGAAATAGAAAAGTAAACATCCACTGATTTATAGGACTTCATAAATCTTGAACTGGTGGGATCTGAATTCCACTAATTGTAGTTGAGAATCTAATAGGCTTGAGTTGCAAAGACTTGTGCTCTGATCTTATTCTGAAAGTAAAATCTTACTTGAGAAGGAGTTTCTTCTACAGGTTTGAGGTAGATGACAGCCCCTCAGAAAATTGGTAAGACTGTGGTTCTCAGTCAATTAACCAACTACTTGCTAGAATGTTTGCATTTTAGGATCTCCATCTTCTCTGTGCTGCATCAGCAGCATACCTGATTTGGTTTTATAGAGATGAATTTCAAGGAAAACATCACCTAGACTTTATTTCAAATTACCCTGAGGATCAATACATCTCATTGATGCCAAAAAATGCCATGTTCATAATCTGCTGTTTTGATAAACGACTCAGAGAAGGCAAATGTCCTGTCAACCACAATCTCTCCTTATTATTTTCAAGGAGCGCTGGTTTCCATTATCAAAAGCAGATAAGCAATGCCAGCACCCATTTGTCATTCAAAATGGAATACTTACTTAGTTGGGAATGAATGAAAACCATCATGGTGGGTTTGTTTTTTTAGGAGTGGCAATAAAGTCACAATTGAAGGTCAGGGGAAATTCAAATGTGGTTCCACTGGGCTGCTAATATTTTTTGGATAGGTTGGAGAGACAATTTTCTAACAGTAACTATGGCTATCCGATACTTTGTTTTTCTCCTAAAATGGAGACAAGAAGCAAAAACCTGACATTTTTTTCACATCTTCTCAAATGGTAATTAGTTTTTACATCACCAAACTAGAGATTTTAGTGCCAATTTGAGGTAGTCTTTTCTTATCCCCATTTTTATGCACTTAATCCCATTTCATAACATGCCTAAAGGTCTGTGGCATGTGAAGAACAGGTCCTTTCATGAGTGAGCAAGCTTGTGCAGCACATCAGCATCACCAGTACATCCAGGCCTTGTTCTTCTCACAGGTTCTATGTAGGAAATGCTAAGAGTGCCACTTGCCATTTAGGGTTTCAGACCAACAGATGGTAAGACTTCCCTGTATGGATGTCTCCCAGCACCTCAAAATCACAATATGATCCAAAGTAAACTCATCTTCTTCCTTACCAAAACTGGTCTTCCTCCAGGCTTTTCCATTTCTGAAGAGCACCAGCGTCCATGTAGGTTGAACCATAACAAATTGCCTTTTTGTAGGTCATAAATAGCTGAATATCGGCAATTTCAAACAGATCAAGCTTAACAGTTGTTCAGGTCAGAAAACTGGGTGAAATCCTTATTACCTCACTCCCCTTCAACTCCTAACAATAGGCAATCATGAGGACGGGTAATTCTATTTCTCAGGCAGGTTCTGAATCCATCCTTAAGGCACCCCCCATAGCCCAAGTTATTACTAATTGGCCTCAGCAATGTAATGTAATGTAATGTAATGTAATGTAATGTAATGTAATGTAATGTAATGTAACGTAATGTAATGAACCAGTGTGTCTTCTTTAAAACACAAGTCAGATCACCCCACTTCCATGTTAGAAATCATTCAATGACTTCTCACTGCCCTTAACACAAAGACCAGACACTTCAACATGGCTCAAAGAGCCTGCAAACTCCAGCTTCAAACCCACCTCACTGTATCTTCTGGTTACTGTACCTTTTTTTATTTTCTAAAACATGCTCCTTCCCAACTCAGGGCCTTTGTTCATACTGTTCCATCTGCCTGGAACCCTTTTCTCTCTCATTACCCCTGAGTCCTCGTCACTCAGTGATCCCCACTTCTCCTTCATTCATGTCTCAGCATAATTGCTGTGCCTCAAGAGAACCTTCTATGACCTCTCCCAGACCAGTGTGGAACCTCATGCTACATACATCCATGAAACTCCGTTCTCCACCTCAGCACAGATCACGCTTCTAATTACCTATTTCAATGCTCTGCTAGACTCAAACTCCAAGGGGGCAAGACCACGCTGTCTTGTTCGCCTACATCTTGCCATCACTAAGCCAGGGCCTAGCACCTAATGAGCACTCGATAATGTTTCCAAGGCATGAATCCCTCACAAACATCAAGCTTGCAATTCACAATTCAAAGTTGCCATCTTGGCTCAATGATATTCTCAGGTTTGACATATCTTCAGTGATTTTTCTATTTAGGACTTTTAGAAAGAAAATAAAAATATTCAATTTAAAAATTCAAAACTGGAAAGCTGAACCAGAACTCTGGACATTTTCTGAATTATCCTCTAGCATGGCTACATCTAGTAGCAGTTACTGTTTTAAGTGAAATAATAATAATCAAAGCTCACATTTATTGAAGGCCAACTATGTGCCAAGCCTATGGAAGAAACTGGGATTTAGACAAGTTGGGGGGTTTACTAAGGTTCACACAGCTACTAAATGATGGAGCCACAGTCACAAAGACCCATACTCCAAGACATGCTTTGGATGCTCTCAGTCCCTCAATCTTTGGGAAAGACAACCTCTCAAACATAGGAACCCTCTCTATATACTCTGAAGACTAAGGGCATCAACTACAGAATCCAAGAAAAACATATTTTCAGCTGTTAGTAAAATGTCTCTATAAACACACCCTAGTTAATTTCACCACATTTCCAAGAGCAGAAATTTCTCTCCCAAGCAGCATCTTAACAGAAGCAGGCATTCCTACCGGAAGAAAGAGTCTCTGGGCAGCACAAGGTTTGAATAGTTTCTTCCATTCCTGAGGGTTTCCAACTGAAAATGTGATGGGGTAGATCCTGTGCTCGAACTTCTTTGTATATGAGTCAGGCCACTGTCGTAACTGAAAAACATGGAAGGCAAGGGGATGGTGATTAGACCTCAGAAACATGGGAACACCGAAAGCTTCTGAATGGTCAAGTGGAAATTGATCAGGCAACTTACATAGCAAGTCTAACTTCATCACCAATATTAATGCTCACTGAATGAAAGACCATTCTAGGATTTAAAGAAATAACATCCAGAGTTGGCAAGGGTGATGGGAAACTGATACATAAACACTGCAAGGGGAGTATAAATTTGAACAAACTTCTAAGAGGGCGATTTGGAAATTGGTAATAGCAAACCTCAAAAGACTGAGATACAAGAACTTTCACCAAAACCTAGTTTGCAATAAAAAAATTGTGGGAACAAACCAAATGCCCAATAATAAGGAACTGGGAAAATTAATTATGGTAGAACTATACAATGGACCGATGCACAGTTAGAATAAAGTAGACCTATATGTGTTGGCATGGAAAAACGGTTGTGATATATAGTTAGGTTCCAGAAAAAGAAAAATGCAAAAAAATATTATAATATGGTTCTGTCTTACATGGAAAATATATGCATATATATTTTATATAGAGAGAAAAATCTGGATGGATATGCACCAAATTGTTAAAAGTGGGCACCCGTGGAGGTGGTGGTGGTGGTTTCATTTTCTAAGTTTATATTTCTGCATTCTTTAGAACTTTTACAGTGAGAATATATTACTTTCTCTCCATATATTAATTTTATAGAAAAATTATTTTAATTAATAGACTTTTTTTTTTTTAACTTTTTTTGTGAGGAAGATGAGCCCTGAGCTAACATCCATGCCTATCCTTCTCTTTTTGCTGAGGAAGACCGGCTCTGAGCTAACATCTATTGCCAATCCTCCTCCTTTTTTTCCCCAAAGCCCCAGTAGATAATTGTATGTCATAGTTGCACATCCTTCTAGTTGCTGTATGTGGGACGCAGCCTCAGCATGGCCGGACAAGCAGTGCCTCGGTGCGCGCCCAGGATCCGAACCCAGGCCATCAGTAGTGGAGCGCGCGCACTTAACCGCTCAGCCACGGGGCGGACCCTAGACTTTATTTTTTAGAGTAGTTTCATGTTTACAGAAAAATTCAGCAGGAGTACAGAGTTCCCATATATTCTCTTTCCTTCCCCTCCCCACCATAGTTTCCCCTATTATTAACATCTTGCATTAGTGTGTTATGTTTGTTACAATTGATGAACCAATATCCATACGTTATTAAGTAAAGTCCATAGTTTACATTAGGGTTCATTCTTTGTGTTGTACAATTTTATGGGTTTTGACAAATACAAAACCCGTATGTCCTGTATCTACCATTACAGTATTATACAGAATAGTTTCACTACCCTAAAAATCTCCTCTGTTGCACCTATTCGTCCCTCCTCCCTCTCTTCCTCCCCTCTCTAAACTCTTGGCAACCACTGATCTTTTTACTGTCTTTAGTTTTGCCTTGTCCAGAATGTCACGTAGTTGAAATCATGCAGTATATAGCCTTTTCTTATTGTTTCATTTAGCAATATACATTTAACATTCCTTTATGTCTTTTCGTAGCTTGATAGCTTATTTATTTGTTATCACTGAATAATATTCCATTGTCTGGCTGTACCATAATTTATTTATCTATTCACCTACTGAGGGACATCTCGATTGCTTCCAGTTTTGAGTGATTACAAACAAAACTGCTATAAATATTCATGTGCAGGTTTTTCAATTGAGTTGGATAAATACCAAGAAGGGCGATTGCTGGATTGTGTATGGTCAGCCTACAGTTAGCTTCCCAAGAAACTGCCAAACCACATTCCAAAGTGGCTGAACCATTTTGCATTCCCACCAGCAATGAGTGAGAGCTCCTGTGCTCCACATTCTCATCAGCACTTGGTGTGGTCAGTGTTGTGGATTTTAGCCATTCTAATACACGTGTTGTAGTATCTCATTTTAATTTGTAATTCCCTAATGACATATGATGTTGTGCATTCTTTCTTATGCTTATTTGCCATCTGTGTATCTTCTTAATTTTTTGAGTTAATCCCTTCCCATTGCCATAATAATTCTACTTCTAAGAATTTATCCTAAGGAAAACTTCTAAAAGTGCAAACATATTTATTACAAGGTTGTTTATTACAGTGTTGTTTGTAACAGGGAAAAATGGGAAACAACCTGAACATGAGATTGGTTAAACAAGCTCTGGGGTATGTCTACATAGCAGAATACTATGCAGCCGCTAGCAACAATGTTGTGGAATGAGGGTCAGCAAACTACGGTATTGCAAGGGCCCCCTCCAGGCTGCTACAAATAACACACAGGCCAAGAGTGGTTAGACATTTTTAAATAGTTGAAAAAAATAAAAACACGAGTAATATTTTGTGACATGTCAAAATCACATGAAATTTGAATGTCAGTGGTCATAAATAAAAGTTTTATTAGAACACAGCCACACCCATTTGTTTCCATATTTCTGTGGCTGCTTTTACGAGAAATAGCAGAGTTGAGCAGCTGTGAGACCAACAAGCCTGCAAAGCCTAAAATAGTTACTATCTGGTCTTTTACAGAAAAAGTTGGTAAACTCCTGTTTTAGAAGAAATTGGTAATATAAGTGCCAGTGATATAAAAGAGAATATAAACTATGATTTCATTTCTGATGTTGAAATGAAAAGGAATGTAAATAAATACACCAAAATTGTTCTCCCTGAGCATTAGTATGATGGTTGATTTTTTTCATTTATGATTTTATGACTTTTTTTGTTATAATGTACATATGTTGCTTACATAGTCACATAAAAATTTTTGAAAAAACATACCACTGGGAACTTTGTAAATCTGCAATTTTGAGATGGATATTTGGGAGAGAAATCTCAGGGTGAGATAGAGTAGGTGTGATGGTCAAAGTACTTGACAACTGATGTATGGAGGGCACTGACCAATCAGAATGCACATCAGGCACAAATACCCAGTACAATCGCATGGACACATCAGAGCTGACACTGGGCATAAACATTCAGTGCAACAGTACCAATCAACCAGAACAGACACTGGGCACAAATACCCAGTGCAATTGTGCCACTGCACAACAGCCCAAAATCAGCCCTGTAAGGAGAATGGGAAGGTCCCATGGTCTACTGGTTTCCTTGACTCTTTGATCTTTAGCACCCTATCTTCTAGAAGGGTTTATCCACCTTTGCCAATCTATGCGTTTTAACCGGAACGTTCAGTCCGTTTACATTTGTTAATATGCATATATTTGAATAGTATACTGACTCCAGCTATTGGAAGTTCCTGTTGACACCTCTTCCCACGGTAGAGCTACACACACACACACACACACACACACACATGATGTTGCTACCCCACTGGCCCCACCTATCACCAGAAAGGACTGGTGGCCATCCCCACTTCTGGGTCCCACTCTTGCTTGACTTTGAGTCTGGGGCAGGAGCCCAGACTAGCCAAATCTAAACCACATGTCTGATCCTGAGCTGCCTAGAGGGGCTAGGAAATCAACCAGCTGGCATTTTCAGTTTCTATATTGGGAGACGACAAAAATAAATGAAACTTTAAAATATTAAATATCTACAATGTAGATGGTAAATACCACCACACACATTGTACTTTAGCAGCGTTAAAAAAAATTCTACTTAAACACAACAGAACTTGCTTGCAATGCAGCTTCCAGAGGAATCATGATGGCAATTAGCATTTTGTTTGGTTTTGTTTTTACCCTGAGGTATGTAGCCCTGGGCTTCCCAGGAAGTTATCACAAGAAACTGTAGATATTCCCACAATGCCTCAGTGTTGGAACTGACAGCCTTGAGAAGGCTGCATAACCCACCCCTCCACCCCGGCATCTCCTGTGGCTGAGCAAAAACTAATGGCTGCTGATCTCCTACTTTAGGGCTAACATAGTGCCCAACATATAGGAGACATTCAAAGACTCTTTATGGAATGGGAGAATAAATAGATTACGTGATTCAGCCCCACAATTATACTCTGCAATGAGTTGAGCAAGAATCATTTGCCCCTTTTGTGCATCTACTACAGGTTTTTGCTTACCCCCAATACAGATGAAGAAACTGGCTAGGAGAAGCTCTGTGACTTACATAAGAGCCAATGTTTTAAATCTAAACTGGTACCATAATCCCAGCATGGAAAAGAAAGGGGTAACACCATATGCCCTGCCTAGCTTTTAACACTCTAATATAATTTGTTAGTTGAGCTTCATTGGTCTAACAATGACCTGACGAAATGAGCCATCAAAGGGCAATTCAAGTATCTCCAATGATTTTCCCATACAATTTAGCTCCTGACTTATAATGTTCCAGTTACTGTGGCTCATAACAAATTACCCCAAAACTTAGTAGTATAAAATAACTGTTTATTATGCTCATAGATTCCATGGATCAGGAATGCAGACAAGGCACTGAAGGGACAGCTTGACTGCTCCACGATGTCTGGGCCTTAGCTGGAAGCCCTGAAGGCTGGAGGCTGGAATCATCTGAAGGCTCGTTTACTCACAGTCTCTGGCGGTTGAGGCTAGCTATCGGCTGGGGACCTCACCTCCTCTGTGTGGGCCTCTCCATCTGGTCTCTCCATACGGGCTAGTTTGGCGTTCCTCAGAGTACGCTGGCTGGGCTCCACGGGTAGGCATCCCAAGGAAGAGCCAGACAGAAGCTGTATCCTTCCTATGACCCAGCCTCAGATGTCACACAGCTTGACATTTGGCATATCCTATTTTATATATACATACATATTATGTATGTAGATGTATAATATATTAGCTATTGCCTTATAACAAATTACCCCTAAACTTAGTAGCTTAAAACCAAAAACATTTATTATCTCTTACAGTTTCTTAGGGTCAGGAGTATGTGAGCTGGGTTGTCCTGGCTCAGAGCTTCTCATGCGGTTGCAGCCCAACTATTGGCTGGGGCCACAGTCATCTGAAGGCTTGATAGGGCTGGAGGGTCTGTCTCCAAGCTCACTCACCTGAGTGTCTGCAAGAGGCTTCACGTGTGGGCCTCTCGAAAGGCTGCTCTGACACGGCTGCTGGCTTCCCCCAGAGCAAGTGATCCAAGAGAGAAAGAGAGTGTAACCAAGATGGAAGGTGCCGTACCTTGTTAAATCTAACCTCTGAAGTGACACAGCACCACTTCTTCCCTATGTTACTGGTCACAGAGACCAACCCTGGGACAGTGTAGGAGGGAAGTACACAAGGGTGTGAATAACAGGACATGGGACCCCTGGGGACCTCTTGGAAAACACAATCTGCCACACATACGTGGTTACACATACACATCTTCCTTCCCCTTATCTTATTTTTAAAATTTTGTTCTGCTCCATCCTCATGCCCCAGCTTCTAGCATCCAGTAGGCACTCAATAAATACTTGTCAGATGGATATTGTGCAAGACATTCCTACTGTTTGCCCATAGCCAGTTTCCTCCATTCCTGCACATACAGCACTTCTCAGCCCTCTTGGAGTTGGGTGGGCCTTGTGACTGTTTCTGGACAGTTGAATGTCACCAGAAAAGACCTGTGTCACTGTGAAGCCGAGGGAGTAAAAAGCCCAGTGGTGATCCACTAGTCTCTCTCTTTCCTGCAGTGGCAACCCAAGAACTGTAGAAGCCAATGTTCCAGCAGGTGCAACTAAAGCATGAACAGTCTGTCAACTTTGGTCCCAGACCTAAGTGGCTTTGTGGACAGAGACCCTGCTGCCTGTGTGAGACATGCAGCCACATGTGGAAAGTCTCAGAGCTTTATGGGAGTTGTTACTGCAGCTTGACCTAGCCTTTCCTGAGTACAGATATATCACCTCTTTCATCAATCCTGCTAGCCCCAAGCTGCAGATGGGGAAATTGAAACTCAAAAACATCACAAGACTTGCCGGAGATCACATGGCAAGTAAAGAGCGGGGCTGAGTTTTCTATGAGTTCGGGAGGTAGTATGGTGTAGTGGTTAAGTTCATGGAGGTCTGAGTCAGTAACCTTGAACTGACACGTGATGAGCAAGACACTAAAACTCTCTAAGCCTCAATGATCTCAGTTTGTAAAACAGAGACATGATTGTTACCTTCTTCAAAGGGTTTTTATAAGGATTAAATAAGAGTAAATCACAAATCATAAGCCGTTGATGAATGCTATTTTTTAATACTATTATTATTATTATCATTTCCCTTACACCACAGCTTCAGAGCAGCTAACTATGTGTGTTTCAACCTGTTTCCTTTCCCCTTCCCCTGACTCAGATCCTTTTCAAGGCATTTTCCAGCCAATTTCAAAGCCCCAAGACTATTTGTTCCCCTGGCTTCTTGGTGAAGACGTCAAGGTAATTTTTTTCTTTAGAAAACATAACACATTTTCTAGATTTCTGTTATGAGCCTTCCTATGCCCAACATGGTTCTTTGGCATTTCTCATTAGCGCAGCTAGCCTGGTAGCAGGATGTGGCACTGTTGACTCAGGTTGGTAGATACACAACAAAACAGGGCTTGCTCTGCCAGCACGCAAGAACTTAGCGTAAGAGAAGACTTTTAAGGAAAACACAGCTTGGTCTGCAAAGTCACGCATGTATCTAGACTGGGGAGAAGAGGCATTTCCAAAGCCCTCCTCGCGTCCTGGTAAAAAATCATTATTTGTTCCTCAGTATAGGAATAGTCAAATACATGATGACCCAGACACATCATAAAATATTAGGTAGTCACCCAAAAGGATGAGGTAAGAGTGCATGAGTCCTGACCTGGAACGATGCTGATGATATGGTTTCAAGTGAGGAAAAACAAGTTCCAGAACAACACATAGAGAATAATCCTGATTTTGTAAAAGAAGTACATTTTAATTGGGTACATACATATGTGTGTGTTATACATGAATATGTCTAAATATACAAATATACATATATACACACTCATATAGATACATAAACACACACACACACCTGTACATGAAAAAAACGTGGAAGAATCACTCAAAACTGTTACCTCTGATAGTTGCTTGGGTTGGACTGAAGGGTAGTGATGACTTCCACCTTTTAATTTATAACACCTAAGTTGTCTGAATTTATTTTAATGAGCATATATTACTTGTCATTCAAAAAACATATATAAGTAGGTAAAAATAAGCTACCTGTCCCCAAATGGGACAATGTTGATGACACCAAGAGGCATGGAGCCCAAGTGCTTTAAGTGCGTCATCTCATTTAATCTTCACAATATCTCTACAAGGCAGAAGTAACTCTCCCTATATTATAGATGAGAACAGCAAGGCTCAGAGTCAAGGGTTCACGGTCACACTGTTAAGTATGCAGCAAAATACATTACGCATCTCCCAAACGGAATGCATGTCCCAAAATGCATTCCATGGGATATGCATTTCCCAAAACGCAGTCTGCCTGTACTCAGTCAATATTGTGCCATGATTTCCACAAATTCACCTGTTTATCAAACTCAGGCTTCAGAGATTCTTCTGTGAAGATGTGAAATTGCATCTTTCTGTGGCTGAAGAGCACAGCTGATTTGAGCATGACCAGTGTCTCCTCCAGCCGATTGCCACAGGCCACCACGGCCAGGTGGATCCAGAGCTCAGGTGGCAAAACAGCTTGGAAATTCCTGGGTTCTCCGGACCTCCTAGAAAGAAGACAAACAAGTAAGAGCTATTACTAAACGCATAAAAAAAAAACAGCTAGCGAATGGTTGGAACATTTCAAAACATGAACAGGCACAATCTGTTATATTTTATAAAGCGATAAGCATTTTGACAATTCTTCCTGCTTAGAGAAAAATACCATTTATTCCCATATTTATCCTGGCAAGAGCAGGATGAGTCACTGTTTGGACTGCTATAGGTGTCTGAGACTTTTTCTGCCAGCACTCAGCTGTCTAGTGCCTGCTGGCTGCCTACTGGCCTATGTTTGAAAATAGTATTGCTAAACTTCAACAGCTGACACTAGGGCTGTGGCGCTCCCACTCACACGGGCCATGGAAATTAGATTTAAATGCAACTTGAACAAGAGGAGGGTGGGTCATGGCTTTCCCATGTGAAACGAGCAACATGATATTCCCATCATCTGGATGGTTTTAGGTTGCGGTGGAATGCATGACCACTGGACCAAAGGAAAATCATGCAAGTCCAGGAGGTGAGCAAAGAAAACAACATATGTGTCTCCATTACATCTTGGGAGAGTCTCGAAGAAACAGGTGTTAATCCTAACCATCTTGCTCAAGATTGCTGAGGTGGTAGGTATGAAATTCAGCTTCCAGTATGAAATTCATATTAATGAGAAACAGGCAGGAGAGGGGACAGGTTAAGCTGAAAATTACCAAGGTATCAAATACTGAGTCAACAGCTGAGACGGAAATAGGGTCCAAGAGTCCAGAATCATCATCCAGCTATTTCCTCGTAATAAAAGATTTGTTCCAGACAAGGAGATGCAGCCAAGCCTCAAACACACCACCGAGAAACATTTGCAGGCAAGTTGGAAGAAGTTAGCCTCGAAAAGGTACCCTGAGACAAATGAAACTAATTTACTTGCACAAAAGATTTGGAGACCAGGGGAACTTGGACGTCGAAGGCTACCTTCCTTCCAAAACCTTCGAGTTCAATCAGCACGCTCCATTGTTCACTGCTCTGTTGGATAAAGGCAGCCTTGCTCCAGATTTCTTTCACCAGGAGGGAAGTGGAAGATGTGGGTGGAGCACTTTGGATAGTTTTCCAGTTTGATTACTTAAGAGCATGCTTAGTAGAAGCAGAGCCTTCAGGCTCAGCTAAGCCCAGATGCAGAGTTACTCAGATTCCACTTATTTCGAGGATCACAGGAAAAGACAGCAGAGATATCCTAAGTAGCTCCTGAAATTGTCCATTTCTCTTCATCCCCCTGTTGCTACCTGCTACCTGAAGAGGCCACCAACTTCTCTCACCTTGATCACTGTGACAGCTCCCTAGATGGTCCACCTGCCTCCAATCTTATCCTTAACCCCCACCCTCTGACTTCTTCTTGTTGATGCCAGAGTGATGTTCTAAAATGCAAATAGGATCATGTTATTCCCTGGATTAAAATCACGTAAGGGCTCCTGATTGCCCTCAAGATCAAGACCAAACTGCTGATCATGGCTCCTACTTACATCTCTTGCAACTGCCCCCAGCACCTCCAGCCCGGGTGCACGGCCATGCATAATCATGGTCATAATTACACTTATATTCATACTCTCCATTTCATTCCAGTCATGGGACCATGCTGGGTTGTCTCCAGGTCTTGGCACATGCATTGTCTCTCTCTCTCTCTCTTAGAAATGCTCTTCTCTGCTCTCTTTTTCTTGCTAATTCCAGCCCATTTACTAATCAAAAAATCTGTACTGAGTACCTACTATGTGCCAGGCACTGTTCTAGGTGCTGGGACAACAGCAGTGAACAAAACAGGCCAAGGTACCTCTCCTTGCAGAAGTTACATTCTATAAGGGACAGGGGAAAGACAATGAAAAAAATAACAGTCAAAGCAAATAGTAACTAAGTAACTTACACAGAAAGTTATCCAGTGCTAAGTGCTATGAAGGAAACATACAGTTGAGCAGGGAGGGACACCGGATCCGCTGATGGGCTGGTGCATATTATATAGGTGCAAAGTCAGGAAGGCCTCACTGAGAGGGTGAGATCTGACGACAACCTGAAGGAGGTGAGGGCGTGAGCCACGTGCATTTCTGGGTGAGGAGCATTCCAGGCCAAGGGACAGTCAGAGCAAAGGTGCTGAATCAGGAGCGTGCCTGGTGAACTCGAGGACCCTGCCTTCAGGACTTGGGTGTCTTCTCTTCCTCAGCTTCGTGGGTGGGTTTTCATACCTGCTATTAAAGCCAACTCCCAACTAACTCATATAAACGGAGGGAAAGGATGTGTCACAGATAATGCTAAAATCACAGTCAAAAGACTAGCCAAAATATACTCCAAAAGAGATTTAATGCAAACCCATTTGCTTAAAATTATGCTCAATATTTAGGAACACAGGTATCATCCAAGGGTTCTAAAACAACAAATGCAGTCGTTTATATATCTTTTCTTTTTTTCTCAAATATTTATTGTACCAATCACTGTCCTGGGCACTTTTCACGCAGTTCATTACATATCATAAATATGAACCATTACCCTGCCCCCAAACAGACCAACTCTGCCTGCTTTAGCTTCACATATTGGGCTTCTACATGAACAAAAAGTTTTAACCTTAGTGATCAGGGAAATACAAATTCAAACAGTAAAGAGTTTCCATTTTATTTTCAGAGTGGCAAAAATTAACGAATAAAATAAAAACGGGACATTACAAGCTTCTGAGTGGATATGGAGATGAAGGACCGCTCAGACACGGCTGGGGCAGTGCAAGTGGACCCAAACCCTTTGGAGGGCCTTTTGGCAACATCTAGCAGGAGGGAGATGCACGTACACCCGCCCCCTCCCCAGTTCTACGCCTACCTATATAACCTGAAGAAACTCTTGCACATTTGCACAAAACCCATGCAAGAATGTTCACAGCAGTCCTGTTTATAATAGTGAAAAAGTAGAAATAACTTTGCTGTCAATGCACAGGAGAACCGTGAATATATTTGATATGTTTAAGCGGAATACAACATAGCAGTGAAAATGAACAAGCTGGAACGTCACGTATCAACATAAGGCAAAAGAGGAAAAAAGCAATTTACAGAAGGCTAGCAAGAGAAGGATACCATTTAGATGAAACTTAAAAACAAGCAAAACAGCATTGTATGTTGTTCACACACAAATGTAGTAAAAGTAAATATGCATGAGGATGATAAACACCAAATGCAGGATAGTGGTGTTCTCTGGGGACTTAAATTTTACCTCTTAAGAGGAGCATAAGGCACACAGAAATTCATTACGTTATCTGTATCTTTTGTGTGTGCCCCAACTATTTGACAAACACTTTTTTTTTTTTTAATTAAAAAAAGTTCGCACCCCCCTGCAGCACAGCAGGCCACTTCTCTTCCTTGCAGGCTTCAGTGATTCGGTGCTGTAAGGTACAAAAAACAGGGGCTAGGGACTTCAATATTTCTTGGTATCTGGTGACAGGTACTAAAAAAGACAAATAAAAGCCTCTCCTGGTGGTAGTGCAAGTATCCATGATTGGGATTTAACGAGACCTTTGCTGCCCCCACTCTATTACCTCTCACATTACATTAAAACTCTCAGGCTTCAGGTAATAAGCGTTTGCGTTGTGTGGTCACGATGAATAATCCACTGTAAGGGCGCTGAGATGGTATGCTTTTCACCAACTCCTACCAGTGGCACACTCAGCACCTCTCAAATGTCACTCGGGACTCTGTGAGGATTAAGGGAAGTCAAGTCTACGAACCTAGAACTTCTTAACCCCTTGAATCACCAGGCTTTGGTGGGGAATGGGTGACGGGGAATTGTAGCACAGCTCTGACTGGTGGCTGACTATGTTCTTATTTAGACTTGATAAAAGAGGACTGGAGTGGACACTTGTTGCCCAGGATTTTTAAAGACCTGTTGCTAAGGCTGGAGTTGACAGTAACCATCTTGGCCACCACACTGGTAGAGCCTGAATGCGAGTCAACGCAACACAGTAGAAAGCAGAGCCACAGTATGGCCGGTCAGATCTCTGGTAGCATTACTTGAGCACCTGGATCCAGCTGTGCCTGACCCTAACCTCAGACGGTGCATCTACTAAGCCAATAAATTCTCCTTTGCTGAAATCTGTTTCAAACAAACTTACAACTTAGCAATCAAAAAGAGTCCTAACATAGGTCTTAAAAAATGTTTCCAATCACCTTGGACTCACTCCGCCTCTCTCCTGTTCTCACCTTGATTCATCCTTTGAAATGCTCATTGAATCCGTTCCTTCTCTGTTGCTCACTGCTAGGACCCTGATCCAAATCCTCATCATTCTTCCAGTTTTGTAGCTGGAAGAGATACCAGACAACATCTAGGGCAGGGGATTCCCTACCTGGCGGTGCATCATAATCATCGGAGGTGTTTGTTAATATGCAAACCCCAGCTCACGGAGATTCCAATTCAGTGGGTCTTGGGTGAGGCCTTGGAGTTTGCATATTAACACACTTGTGCTACAGCCACCTATAGTTCAGCTACAGCCAGGAACTAATTATCTGAGCTGACCTCTCCCCTCATGTCTCTCTCCCAAACTCTCAGGAACACCCACTCTATCCTCAGCCTTGTCTCAGAGTATTCTCTTCACCTGCATTCATGACAACATGGCTGCCTTGTGAGGCTGCCACTCCCCCTCCCGCCCCCGCCAGGAGACCCCCAAGTGGAGGCTGTTCTTCCTCCCTTGCCCCGGGAGCCTCAGGGCAGCAGACGGGGCTGGTGTCCTCCTTGCTCTTCCCTGCCACGTCCAGACACGGAACACGTCTGGATAGTGGAGTCTGTGGATGAAACCATCACCTTCTCCCTGTCCTTCTTGGTGTCATCTCTCAGCTTCGCAGTTACCCCTCTTCACTCTCTGAAGAGTGGAGCTCCTCGCTCTCAGTGTTCCTTCCCTCCCCAGTTCCTGTCAGCATTCTGGGGGACTCAACCGCTATTTACAAGAGGCTTCCAGCGCCCTGACCCTTCAGTTTTGTGACCTCCACACCGACCACCCTTTCCTTCT